TTATCTTGTAGGAGTCTCAAGCACAATGCCTCTGATTCCCAAACTCTACACCCAAAATAGTGAACCCTGAACCCTAAACCCCCAAATACACCAAACCCCCCAAACCCTAACCCCAAATCCCATACCCTAAACCCCTAAAGCCTTCCTGTCAACCTTTCACCTCGGGCTTCTTACCCAGAATCCAGAGCGTCAAGCTTTCGCCCTCCAAATGCTGGCTTGGCTGCATGGCACTGCGTTGAACTGGGGTTACCATAATGGGTATATGGTATAAATAAATATAACCTACCTATATATATATATATATAGTTATTAAATGTTATTGATATGGTTCCCCTATTAAGTAAGTTCCGTAACAGCAACCCAGTGAAGGAAGCACAAGGTAACCAGATGGTTGGAAGGGGTCTTTCCTGTCTGGGGGACCCAAGGAAATTGATAGCTTAAAAGCCTGGACACTGAACCCTAAACCCTAAACCCTGCACCCTAAACCCTAAATATTCTGGTGCAGCCGGAAAAAGGCACTAGAAAAAAAACTAAATAGTAGTTTCCATTTTCTTTTCCATTATCCCTATATAACCCCAATATAACGCCTATCCATGGTGGCGGCAGGAAAGAGTTGGGAGGCGCAAGACTGGACATACGAGAAGCCGAAGAATGCAGGCGTTTTTGGGGCATTCGAGTTGGCTTTTCACTTCTTGTTGTATCTGGTTGTGGCAGCCACAGTTTCTCCTCTGTGTTCTTTCTGCTGTCTGAATGCCTTTGCAGAAGCTTCGTTGCCACGAGTCATACCTCTGATTTTTTTTGTTGTTCGCTGTATTTCTCGAGAAGAGTGCGCTTTGGGACCCTATGGCGATAGGGGTCTGTGGGGATTACCGAGGGATTCTGGGGTCTTGTTAAGGTAGCCTTGCCCAACACGCAATCCATGATCGAACCCCAAACCCTCGAGGCATAAAACTTTAAACTCTAAATCCTAAAGCCTAAGCCTTAAAGTCCAAGAAGGATTGGATTTTGGAGTGGATGTCAGCTTACCGTTTCCCCAGAAAATTGATGTTCAAGAAAAGGACCTGAGTTTAGAGCGCGGTGCTTCTCCAGAAGAATCCCTATGTAATCCGTGGACTCCCAGAATGCACTTGTAAGTCCGCATATCATCATGTAACCCTTATAACCCTACAGTTCTTGAGGATAGCCCCTCGTTGAGTAACCGCAAGTATGGCGCCAGGCAATTCCTGGAAGGATTGGAACCAGACTGAGAAGTGGAAAGGAGGAGGAGGAGGCGGAGGCGGAGGCGAGGCTCATGGTGGAGGGTTTGGGGGATTTAGAGTTCAGTTGTGGCTACTAGATTCAGAATACGGGGTCTATAGGGACTGGTATAGGAGCTGGTGTGGTCTTGGGCTTCATTTTCACTAGGATCCTGGTTTGAGGTGGTAGCGCTCGCGGTGGAGTCTGTGCAATTGATGTATCGCTCGCATGATTTAATGCTACACTGCCCTGCGCCATAGTATAACCTAATTGTATGCAAGATCGAAGATACGGAAAATTGTTCCCAATTGTGCAGGATTGAAAATACGCCGTTCTTCATTACAGTAAGCTTCCTTAGAAGAATGGACGGCTCGTTTGTGGCGCTTCTTGCCATCGCCAGGAAGACCGTCAGAGGAATGAGCTGTGTTTGGGGTGCAGGGGACTGGATGGCTCCAACTTTTTTTTGTTTGAAGGGATTGCGATTTCACTGTCGAGGCGCAATCTCAGAGGCTCCCTGAAGGCGCAAGTCATCTTTACTCAGATCTGTGTCCATCCAGACAAAGGTCTGACTCATGAGGCCTCATGATACAAGCTTTTGTGTCCATGAGCTACTGTTCAATATTTACCTTATTTAAGGGATCCTCAACAGTGGACATCGGGGTCCCTCTTTCCCTTATTCTGTAGGAAATATGCCTTAAAGCCTAAATAAACCCTAAGCCCTAAGCCCAAAACCCACGTTTATTATGCAGGAGACTTCCCTAGGCCCTAAGCCCGAAGCCGTAAGCCCTAAACCCAGCAACTGATGTAGGAAGTCTTGCCTGTAGCCCACATGCTCCTTAAGAGGAACGGGGAGGCCCATGATCCCATCATAGTCATCGTCCCTCTAGATTCCGGGGCCCGGAATGGCTGTTGTCATATCCAAATATGGTGGTTTCCTAAAATTAGGGGTAGCCTATTGGGGGTCCCTATAATGAGGATTGTAGTATTTTGGGGTCTATATTGGGGTCCCCCATCTTGGGGAACTACCATATCTCTGGAGTCCTTTAGGGTTTGAGAGTTCTGTAGGGCTTAGGGGTTAAGGGGTTTAGGGGTTGAGGGTTTAGGGTTTTAGGGTTTAGGGTCCGTCGAAGAAGACCAGCCCCAAGCCCTAAATTCCAAACCCTGAGGATCCGGAGGCTCAGGAGCGAGCTGGAAAGATAACAATTCCTGGAAGGAGCAGGACACCTGGAAGAAGAACGATTGGAAGAAGGCCGGAGGGGTTGGTTGCACATTGTTGGTGGTCCATGTCAAGCATTTTTGGAATTCGAGCTTCAGAATCTCTCAACTTCCTTGACCCATGCAAATTCACATACTGATGCTACATATGGTATTTCCAGGCAGAAGCAGGCACCCTTTGAGCTGACAAAGACATGATGAGGAGACGCAAGGAATGCTGGTATCAGGTAGAGCAGTATTTGAGGCCTTGGAAACACCTTCGTTCACAGCTCAAGCACTACATGAGCCATAATCTAAATTCCTTCGGGGCTGACATAGGGAGGGACTACTACGGAGGTTATGAAGGGGGATACTAGGAGTTTAGACTATGGCTCACATATTCTGAGCGAGATCATTGACCGCCAACTGTGTGAAAGGACCTTGATGCTCTTAGCCAAACCTTCTTTCCCACGGATAAGGGCCTAAGAAGGGCACCTTGAATCAGTCCATCACCCAACTAAGGGCCCATATTACGTAGGATCCAGGAAACAGGTGGTGAGGAGCCATGTGAGCTGCAATCTAAACTC